ACCCAGATGGGTTGGGATAGGGTGCACGGGGCAGAGCGGTGTATCAGAGCAGAGATACAAAGTTCTGGAATAACTCATTATTATTCTACCAGTCTAAGTTGGCATGTGTGCATGGCACAGCATCCCCTCTCTCGCACACACACAAACATACATGTATCACATCACACAAAGGTATATCGACAGACAGCCTGGAACACTCCAAACGGTCTCGGTAAGTGACCGCTCTGGTTGACCGATATATCTATAGGTAACCACTTCACATCACTACACCCCTTATAGTTCTGTCCGAACCTTCATTTCTCTTCAATCCTGTTCACACACGTCAGTCAGAGACGTTCTATACAAACGGTCAGAGGTCATTTCAGGTCAATTATATGTGTATTTGAAATGGAGATAGAGCGTGAAACCACATGAAACCACGTGCATATAGATCTGTTCACAGATTTATCTTATCGTCCCTCAATAGTGACCGACCTTGCAAGCAACAATCATCACCAGAGTCACTACGGTTATTGACTCGTGTATGTGTCTGGGACACGTGAGACCACGGTAACTGCACGCTCTTCTTCCAATCCGTGCATCTTCTGTAACGTATCTAATTCTCAGTGAAGTCATTTTGCCTAACACACTTCTCCGTAGTGAATCCCGACACGTGTAGTGCTCAGGAAACGGGGATTGTACATATAGGAAGCATTAAAAACAGCTGTTTCGATCTTGTCCGGTATCATTAATCACTCAACCCTCCGTTTACTCCACGACAGACGGGATCGCAGCTGTATCAGAATATGAGTATATGCAGCTTGGATCGCTTATCGTCAACGCAGGCAATGACTACCGGATAGACAGTGCTTGCCTCCTTGTCAATAAGTCTTAAAATTCCACCAGGAAGCTTTCCCTGTAAAAAAAACTTTGTAATTGGACTTTGTGAGCAACTTAAAAATTCTGTAGACGCCGACATTTGGGAATATCGCAAGGCTCACACTGACTTCTTGACAATGATCAGCTGCTGTTACCACATGGTGGTAACGAGTTGAGTCGCTGTTGCACAGATTCGATGATTGAATGTAACTTCAATCCATATGGGACATTTTGTTGTTCATTGTGACAAATCGCACAGATTAGATCACCTGTTCTCATTTAATGAATCAGAGATTATCGTGACTGCGGATTTCAAACACACTACTATTTAGCATATCTGTCAAGTTTGTGGGGATTCGAACCCCTATGCATCTCAGTGTGAACTCATTCCTGTTGCTCTTCAAGCTTTCAGTCCAACAAATGATTTCCTGTGTGCTCAAAGTAAATGCACTAGGTGTACTTCCGACTAATTTCCTTCTCGATTGCTTACCTCATAGCGAGGAAACATTCCTATGTGACAATTCACGTACTGTTTGGAGGTCGATAGCAGCGTACTCACCTTTTTCCAATTCCTACTGCTGAACGCGTTTTTCGCAATAATGGTTTTGGGAAGCGAGAATCACTCGGATGCGAACTCATCCCGTTGTGTTGCTCGAAGGAACTATACAAGTCTCCTTTCCTCCCAGAACGGACTAAGCTTCATAATTTGTGTCCGAAAACATTCTCTCACTCTCTCTCTCTCTCTCTTCCCGGAGTGCACCTTTAGGGACAAGGGGAAGGCAGTGGTCAGGGAGCGAGGCAGGGGGCTGCTTCTCTGCTTAAATGAGAGACCGAAAACCTATGGATGGATTAGCGATTCAGGAGAGCTTGAGACCTCCCGAGAACAAGGAGAATAATTTGGTTCGCCGAACCAATTGGCAACTTTGAATCTGGAGATGGGAAAGTTTGCTTTTTACAATTTCACAATGAGTTGGGATACAAGGGAAAATTCAGAGTCAAAGTCAACGTTTTATAATGGGAAATTACTTACTCTTCAACTAATTTGCGTTGTTTAGGCATGTGAGATGTGCCAGGGTTTCATCAAGTCTCCGCTGGAAACATTCAACAGTTTGGTGCAAAAACGATGCGAGATGGAAGGGTGTTCCAATTAGTTCACACTCTGACTGCAAAAGATTGACGCTGGCATACCAGTCGACACTTTGGAATCAGTAACTTGAAACGGTGTCCCCTAAGGTCTGGGTTGGGCGGCAACATGAACAGCGGCCGACACGGATGGTTTAGGTTCTGCAATATTTAGTACACCAAAATCAAGTCTCTTCGAATTCGGCAGTACTGCGTAGAATACAGTCTCAATGATCGTAATTTCTCCTAGTAGGTGAGGCACTTGAATCCCTCGACCATCTTGGAGACAATCCTTTGTGGACACTCCAACATCTCACAGGACTATGTTTCAACCATGGGTTCCAAGCTTGGACAGTGTAGTCTACGTACGGTCGAATGTACTCTGATATCAAACGTGGGAACAGTGCTGATTCAAACCGACCAAAGAATCGCCTAAGCAAGTCGACGTTCCTCACAACAGTGGACGAAGCCCTGGCGCAATTGATCGAGCAGCTTAAATTTTCTTGAATAATTATCCCTAAATCCTTCTCACTTGAGGTATGTTACAGCGGTTGATTTCCGAGGAAACACGGAAATGTACTCCTGTGGCGTAGGGATAACTTGGCGTTTAGAAATATTGAATTCACTGTCGTTCTACATAAACCACTAGTAAGCTGCATAAGTGTATTTGAAGTGTTAGCGAGTCCTCGGGTTCCGTTACTGTATTTTTGATTTTGGTGTCGTCTGCGAACAGTATTGCTTTTGGGCCTAGCACATTCGGTGGATCTTTTATGAATGCGAGGAAAAGTCGGGGGCGGCGTACAGACACTTGTGGAACTGTAGTAATTGTAGTAGTAGTAGTAGTACT